TTGGATCCTGTATCGGCTTCTCTGACCTCGATTCTCCACTTCCTAACTTCACTATTTGATGATGGTGAAGCCTACAGAACATTGTACCTCTACATTCTTCCAAGCTGGACACAGAGGTATGGATGGAGCTCCAGTCGGATTCCATCCTATGGTGTGTAAACTCCTACATGGTGTCAGATTTGCACGTCCTCCACTGCCACGTTATTCAGTATTACGGGACGTTTCTATCATTCTCAACTTTCTCGAATCCTGACCGACTAATACCTCTCTATCCATGAAGCAACTGTCGGCAAAACTAGTCATGCTCCTCTGTCTAATATCCTGCAAGAGGGTTTCTAATGTCAGATCTTTGGATATTACCGCTCATTCGAGGGGCGATGGCCCCTCGATTGGTTGCTGCCTTGAGGACATTTTGAAAGTGGCTGACTGGTCCTCGGAGTCTACCTTTCGTGATTTTTATTTTAGACCTATACAACACTTTTGCGGGGACTGTAGTTTTACAGCTTTAAACCAGCATAATAGGAGCCTCTGTGTCTTAATAAAATTCACAGATTTTACTATTAGCATGACGTAAAGTCATGATTTTATAACAACACGGAGGCGAGTATTATCCCTCCCTCCGATCCCAAGAATTGATTGAATATGGGTAAGTTGACATCACAAAGTCTTTGAGTATGGGATTTTCCTGTTATGATTGTCTGAATTTAGTCTAAAGTATGTCGATCTATTTTGCCCAGTTATGTTTGATGATATGACTTATGCGTACATCCAGTTTTATACTTGGATATTACCATATTTCTCCTCTCTATTACAGCTTAATCTGACATTGTATCCTTATTGGCATTCTCTTTGTTGGTGTTCCCTTTTGTGTTGGATGGTTGTCCTTGTTTGGGATCGCAAAAAAAGAGGAAACAGTTTACTAGACACCTCCTATTATGCTGGAGAGTGGAATCCAATTGGCTATTCCTTTCGCTAGGAAGATGTACCACTCAGACTGTTTATTGTTACCATACTGTTTATGTTGTATTTTTCTTTGCTGCTGATGGATATAAAGAAAGAGGGCAGCATAATACTCGCCTCCGTGTCGTTAATAAAATCATGACTTTACTTCATGTTAATAGTAAAATCTGTGAATTCTTTGAAAAATACAAATGTCAATTAATATATATATATATTTTTATCAATTAACAAAATGCAGAGTGAGTAAAAAGAAGAAAAATCTATATTTGGTGTGACCAACCTTTGCCTTCAAAACCAAATCCATTCTTCTTTTTTTTTTTTTTTTTGTAAATATATTTTTATTGGATGTTTTAATTTTGTCAGTATCGAACATGTCATGAAAAAGCTTCGGTATGGACACACAGGTCCCATGATGTTTGCATGCAGGCAAATTGCATTGGTACAGATGTTACTCATGTAGATATACATTGGAGACACGCAGGTCTCATTTAATCGTAAGAGGCATAAATTAGTTGGACTCGCAGGTCCTATGGCATATACATGGCGTGTGCCCCTAAACTATTTTCAGTTTGGGTACTCAGGTCCCCTCTGTATGATACGTTTACTGTCATTTTAGGATGTGTCGTTTGGTCAGGTTTACGTTGAGTTTTTTATGCTCAGTCAGTTAATTGAGGCAGCATGTGTCTTAACATGGTGTATCTTTCGTAGATATATTTTTATTGGATGTTTCAAGTTTTTCAGTATCGAACGTGTCATGAGAACGCTTCAGTATGGACACGGCGGTCCCATTATGTCTGCATGCAACCAATTGCAATGGAACAGTTGTTGCCCATGTATATATACATTGGAGACTCGCAGGTCTCATTCAGTCGTAAGAAGTATAAATTAGTTGGACTCGCAGGTCCTATGGCATATATTTGGCATGTGTCTCTAAGCTATTCTCATTTTGGGTACTCAGGTCTTATCTGTATGAAGCGTTTACTGTCATTTTAGGGAGCGTCGTTCGGTCAGGTGTATGTTGAGTTTTGTGTGTTCAGTCAGTTAATTGAGGCAGCATGTGTCTTAACATGGTGTATCTTGTATGTGAAGAAACTTTTGTGTGTGTTGTGTCTATGTGGGTGTGTGTGTCTGCGAATTCCATGAATTGCAAGGCGTTGAGTTTGAGATTTGTATTCCGTCGTATACTTTTATCTGTGAGAAGTATTTGTGAGTGCGTAGTAAGTAAGATGGAGGAGTAGGTCTAGTAGCACGGAGTGTTAGTGTGTGAGGCTCACTTGGGGATCTCCTGTTGTTCATCTCTAACTTGGGTAGTGATGCATGAGTCGGGTTTGTCGGCTTGGGTTTAATGAGATGTCTGTATGATATTTTTTTATTTTTTTGGGGGGGGGTTGGTGAGTTATTGCCAGTATCATATGTTGCTATGTCTTGTGTCCTCATTGGTTGTGTTCATGGGGTGGTTGTGTGTTGGCGGTGTGTTGATCGTGTGAGCGTTGTAGTTTTATTGCGTGTAGTGTGTGTGGTTTGTTAGGGGTAGGGATGGGTGGAAGCCCCCTTAACTCCCTTCTCCAGCCGCCGCGTCCCCCCCATCACGTCTTGCCACGTATAATATCCAAGGTTGCCACTTGTCAACGTGTTTCGTGAGGGTGTCTCGTAGGGTCGCGTACATTTCTTCTGCGAATCTGATCTCTTCTACCCTGTTTAGCCATTGTTCCATTGTGGGGGCGTTTGTCGTTTTCCATAAGGCAGGGATCCAAATCCAGCCTTGGCTGCGTCGAGAAGGTGTCGCAGGATGGATCGTTTGTATTTTGAAATCGGGTCTTTGGTGTGATGCAGGAGAATGTTGTCTAGTGATAGGTGCGTCGTGTGTCCTAGTACCTCTTTGATGCGGGACGTAATCTGGTTCCAATACGGTTTAATGTTGGGGCAGTCCCACCATATATGTTTTAGTGTTCCTATGTCTGCTTCACATCTCCAACAGGTTGCCGATGTGTTGGGGAATATTCTGTGGAGCAGGTCTGGGGTTCTGTACCAGAATGTCAGAAGCTTATAGTTCATTTCTTGGTATTTTGAGCTAATCGTGGATTTGTGATGGAGGATGAGAATTTTGTCCCATTGTGCGTCGGTGAACACTGTGCCGGTGATGTTTTCCCATTTTTCCTTATATCGTCGGGTTGTTTGCTGCTCACCTGTGATTAGGTATTGGTATAGCGTCGACGTTGGTTTCTGAGTCGGTGTTTGTTTGTCGCAGATGTCCTCAAACCACGTGAGGGTTCTGTGTACCGCTTGTTTGTTCGGTAGGGTGTGGTAGAAATGCGTCAGCTGGGAGTATCGGAATTTGTGCATGGGAGCTGGCGGGCCTTCCATTAGGCGTTCCAGGGGGGTCAGTCCTGAGGCGGTTAGTGTTTTGTGGAGTGGTATGAAGTCTCTTCCCTCTAGAAAATCCCAGGCCTTGATCGGTAGTCCTCCCCCCACTGCTTGGTTATGTGTTAGCGTGGTCATCGGGCTGGGTATTGGGGATATGGTCGTTGCGTTCCTTATTGTAGACCATAAGTGGAGGGTGTGACTCGCTGGCGAATTTGTGCCGGGGTCGTGTCGCCGTGGCGTTTTCTGATTCCATAGGGATGCAAAAATAGATGGGCTGCAGGATTCTCTGTCTAAGGCCACCCATTGTTTGCATCTCGGGTTAGTATGCCATTCCAGTATCCGCTGCAAGGCTGTCGCTTGGTGGTATTTGCGTAGGTCTGGGAGTGCCAATCCGCCCTGATTCCTGGTCTTGCATAATAGTTCATATCGTAGTCTAGGCCTGCATCCTCTCCAGACATAGGTCAGGAATGCGGTTTTTATTGTCGCGAAAAAGGTCGTCGGTAGTGTCACTGGGATTGTATGAAATAAATATAGTAGTCTGGGTAGTATATTCATTTTGATGACCGCTATGCGGCCGAACCATGAGATGTGTGGGTAATTCCAGGTTCGGAGGTCTTGTTGAATGCGTGTGAGAAGTGGGAGGAAGTTTTTCTGATATATGGCATTTGGGTCAGACATCACCCATATCCCCAGGTATTTCATTTGGGTGTGACACCAACGGAACGGGAAGGTCGAGGCTATATCCCTGTGTTCCCCAAGCGGATCTGTGATGTTGAGCAGTTCGCATTTGCTCAAGTTAAGTTTGAGGCCCAAGAGGCGTCCGTATTTTTCGAATTCTTCCATTAGGCATGGTAGGGTGAGTCTTGGACGTGTAATGAAGAACAACATGTCATCCGCGTATGCGGCTACTTTATGTGTGGCGGTTGTACAGTTGTAGCCCGTGATGTTAATATTTCGTCGGATTGCCTCCAATAGGGGTTCCAATGTTAATGCAAACAGTAGCGGGGACAGGGGACACCCCTGCCTCGTGCCATTGCGAATCGGGAAGGATTCCGTCAAGGCTCCGTTAACGCGCACCGCTGCCGTCGGAGTGCTGTATATCGCTCCGATCCATTTCTGTATGTTGTCATTAAATCCCAATAGTCGTATCGTCATTTCCAGGAATGCCCAGTCAACTCGATCGAACGCCTTTTCGGCGTCCGTGGAGAGTAGCAGGAGTGGTGTTCCATGTTGTCTTGCTAAATGTTGTATAGCGAGAACTCTCAGAGTGCTGTCTCGAGCCTCCCGTTCCGGTATGAATCCCGTTTGATCAGGGTGTACGAGTGTTGGCATTAGGTTGCTAAGTCGGGTAGCTAATATTTTGGTAAAGAGTTTTGTGTCCACGTTTAAGAGGGAGATGGGTCTGTAGCTGCTGCAAATTTCCGGGTCCTTGCCTGGTTTTGGGATTACTGTAATTGTGGCCGATAGTGATTCGGCGTGGAATGCATGTCCCTCAATGATGGCATTGAGCGCCTTTGTAAGTTTGGGGGCTAGTATATCTTGGAAGCGTTTGTAGTAGTCCAGTGTAAGTCCGTCGGGTCCGGGTGCGCGGCCTGTCTTCGTCGTTTTGATAGCTGTCTTAACTTCGTCTTCGGTGATCGGGCGGTCGATGGTCTCTGCGTCTTCGGTTGTCACCGTCATGTGTAGATGTTCTCTCAGGAAGCATTCCATGTGACCTTGTTTGATTCGCTTGCCTTCTTCGTCGCTTTGTGAGTGTGTACTGTAAAGTGAGGAGTAGTAAGTGAAGAATTCCTTGGCGATTTTCTCCGGGTTTTGGGTAGTAGTGCCGTTGCTTGTTTTTAATTTGTGTACTTGTGAGGGGTGTTGTTGTCCCCTGAGCATGTGTGCGAGGAGTTTGCCTCCTTTGTTTGCGTGGAGGTAGAAGAAACCTTTAGATCTGCGGAGTTGTCTCAGGTGTCTCTTGAGTAGTAGTGCGTGTAGTCTCCTTCTTTCCTCTAATAGTTCCCTGTAGGTATCTTCCACCTGTTGGCGTTTGTGTTGTGTTTCCAGGGAGCGGATCCGGTCCAGGATGGTTGACATAAGCGTGCCCGCCTCTTTTTTCCGTTGTGACGCGATTTGGATGAGCTTGCCCCGGAGTACACTTTTGTGTGCCTCCCATATTGTCATATCTGATACGTCTCCCGTCTCATTCTCGGTAAAATATGTCTGTAGAGTGTCGGTGACTTGGGCCCTTAGTGGGAGGTCGGTTAAGAGGGAGTCGTTGAGTCTCCACGACGTTTTCGTCGGTCTTATGAGTGGAGATTCGAGGTCTATCGACACTTGTCCGTGATCCGACCACGTTGCAGTGTGTATGGATGCTCTCCTAAGTCTTATTAGTGCTTCTTGTTGCAATAATAGGAAGTCTATCCTGGAGTATCTTTTGTGTATTATGGAATAGTGAGTGTATTCTCTGTCTAATGGGTTTAGCGTTCGCCAACAGTCTACCAGGCGCAGTGTTTTCAGAGTATGGTTTATGTTTCTTATTTCTCTCTGTGGAATGCTGCTGTGTCCCGTTGAGGAGTCTACTTTAGGATCTAGTGTGACATTGAAGTCTCCTCCCGTGACCAGGGTTCCTTCCGTGAAGTCTGTTAGTGCCTTTAGTGTGTTCTTAAGGAATCTAGATTGATTATTATTGGGGACGTAGATTGTCGCGAACGTGTAGCATCGCCCTGCGATATTCCCCTTTACGAAGGCGTATCTGCCGTTGTGGTCTATAAGGTGATCCTGTTCCTGGAATTGTAGACGAGCTGCTATAAGGATCGCGACCCCTGCCTTTTTCACTGTGGGGTGGTTGCTGAAGTAATTAGTGGGGTATTGTTTGTTTTTGAGTGCCGGGGCCGCTCCCTCCCGAAAGTGAGTTTCCTGGAGAAGAGCGACTGCAACCCTCTCTCTCTGAAGGTCCCTCAAGAGATTAGTTCTGCGTTCTGGGAGATTCAGTCCCCTGCAATTTTGTGTGATGATTTTCATCGGGTCTGGTCTGTATGCCATCCTGCCCGTATCTCCGCGCAGCGGTGGTGTCTTGTCGGGTATCGGGGTCCCTCGTCCGAGTCTCGCTCTCTTGTGTACGTGGGAGTCGACCGAGGAAGCCCGAGCCCGTGGCTTGGTTCCTGGGTTTTGGTGTGGTTCGGTGCCCCTGCGTCGTCTGGCGGTTAGCTCGAGGCGGACGCGACGGCCGGGTCAGGAGCGCCGGGGGGGGGGCGTTCGGGTGAGTTGCTGGACTGCGGTCACGTGTAGGGTGTCTGGTGTACGTGGTGTGTTGGTATTTGCTCTTGTGTGGTCTAGGGGAGTCGTCTGCTCAGGCTCAGTGCCTTTCGGTGATGTCAGGCACCGTGTCTGGTTCGTGTGATGGGGGTGTGTGTTTCTTAATTGGATGTTGGAGAGTAGTATAGATGTGGTGCGCGTGTCGTGATAGTGTGAGGAGGTGATCCTCTCCGCGGAGAGGGAGTTCGTGTGCCTACGGTGTCGGTCGGGGGGGCACCCCGGGTTTTATCCCGGTGGTGTACCAGTCGGCCTCCGTAGTATTAAGCGTGCACACCGAAAGGGGTGGGTAGCGTGTCTGGGCCCTTAACTGTTTAGGCTGTGGTGCCTGTGTGGTATGTGCGGTGTTGGTTGTGGAGTTGATACTTGAGAAGGGTTGTGTATCGTCGGAAGAATCTGTTATTTGTGTAGGAGTGTATATCCGTTTTGGGGTTGTAGCGTCCGTCCACTGTAGTAGAGGTGTTGTATAGTCATCACTAATGCCATTGATGTGTGTCCATTGTGTTATCAGCACTATGCCTGTTTGTTGCGTCTTTTCGGTGTCGCTGGTATCGGGTGGGGGGAAGTACCGTAAGGGTAATTTGCGTGTAGTCAAAGTGGGGGCTTGAGGATATCTCTTCAGGGTGTGTGCATTGTGGGTCTTCTACTCATTGTGTCTGGGTTGTTTCATCTGGGTCATGTGGGTATATATATTTTTTTTTTTTTTCTCCCCCTTCTTTCCCCCCTCCCTCCTTTATGTCCTCTTGCCCCGTCCCCCGTACCTTTTGTTCCTCTAGGGGGTGGTGGGATGGTCGTTTGCTTAGTATCTTCTCGACATCAGTGTGTCGTCTGTGTGGGGGAATTGTGAGTGTATGGACCTCTTTGGAAGCGTGTTATCTATGTATGTCGGTCCCTTTGACGTGGGGGGGGGGCCCGGTCAGTGACACAGAGTGATGTTGCATAGTCTAGCCATTCAAGATAGGTTATTCACAATAATCGTACAATAAAGAACAGTCTCTGGTCTCACAATCAGCTATACATTTAGTGTGGAATCAGTTCTTCGTCTTCACGAAAGTCAATGCTGCTGGAGGTCTCTAAGGCCCGATCTCTATGTCCCCGACCCTCCCCCCTGTGATCCCCCTCCCCAATAGGATTCCTTCCCCCGCTGTCGTTTTCTTCCCGCCCCTCCCTTTTCATCCCCCCCCTTTTTTTTTATTTTTTTTAAATTTATTTTATTTATTTATTTTATTTTTTTTAATTTTTTTTTAATTTTTTTTGTTTAGAACCCTCCCGTGTTGTGGAAGACCCATTTGCATGTGAGATATCCCCTAGTCCGGTCAGTCTCGTGGTGAGGCGTGGTGCCCTCCCATGCCAGGGGGGTAGGTAGAGTGTCCCGTCTGTTAGACTCGTGCCAATATGTTAACTACCCTATGTCAGAGTACCTGATTCTTGGGGTGCGGGTTTGCCTCCAGGTGCTTCTCCAACGTGGGTGTCATCTGTCTGTGTTATCTCGGGGTTGTGGGGTCTGCCGGAACGGTGTCAGTTGGTCTGGTATTGGGTTATTCCTCTGGGTTGTTTAGGTCTGGTCGGTGTCGCGGAGCTTCACCTTGAGAGTTCCATCTTCTTCGCCTTGCTTGTCGCTGCGGTTGTGGTCTTGGATCCAGCGGCATGAATACCCAGTTCGGAACCGGGGTTGGCGGTAGGTTTAGGCGTTGTAGGAATTGAGGAATGTCTTCTGGCCAGCGTGCGGAGACCCATTCATTATTATATCTAACTGTGATGCTAAATGGGTAACCCCATCTATATTGCATATTCCTCTCCCTCAGGATGGTGGTAACCGGTCTCAGGGCTCTTCTAGCCTCCAGGGTCATTGGTGATAGGTCATTGTAGAGGGATATTTCTGCGCCCCTGTAGTTCCAGTGGGCCCTGGATCTAGCTTTCCTCATGATTATGTCTTTGGTGGCGAAGGAGTGCAGGCAGCATATTATATCCCTGGGGGTCCCCTCCGTGGGCCTGGGGCGGAGTGCTCTATGTGCCCTGTCATATTTAATAATCGCTGGTGTGTCCTCCCTTAGGATGATGCGGAATAGGGAGGTAAGCATCTCTTCTATATTTTCCCCCTCTGGAGATTCAGGTATCCCCCTTACCCTGATATTGTTGCGACGACTGCGGTTGTCCTGGTCTTCTAGCTGTCGCCTCATGGCCAGTATGAGGGTGCCCTGGCGTTTGAGGGCCGTGTCTGTGGCTGTAGAGTGGTCTTCAGTGGTCTGTGCCCTTTTTTCCACCTGCTGTATGCGGTGTTCCTGTGCTTTAATTTCGGCCTTCAGGCCGTTCACTTCAGATTTAATTGCTTCATATATGTTGTTGGTCAGGTGGGTGAGGTCATCTTTTGTGACCATCTTCATTGCCACGCGTTTCAGTTCTGCTCCGATGTCTGCCAGTGTAGTCGTGTCGGCAGTGGAGCATGTGGATGCTGGCGAGGTCGGCGCCATTTTGGATGTCGGGGAGCTGGGGTCTGGGCCGCATGGCGCGTGGAGGAACTCATCCATCGGCCCCGTTTGCGACCCCGAGACCGAAGGTTTGGGAGTCTGGGGGAGGTCCCCTCTCTTTGTGCGACCCATTGGTGGCAGTGCGCGCCGGTGAGTAGTGGGGTGCTCCGTTCTTTGTGCTTTTGTGGAGCGGAGCTCAGCGCTTAGGCGGCCATGTTCGTCGGAGCCCAGGCCCCCGCCCCCCTCCAAATCCATTCTTCTATTTACATTTGCACAAAGTCTGGAATTTTTCAAATATGTACCTATGAAATTTGGCAAATCAGGTGTATGGAAATGCTAAGGGCAACTTGTTTGTACAACTGCTGGTGCAGTGCACTTGCAGCAAGCTGATATACCGTAATTTTCTTGTCATGTTTATTCTATTGGCAGTGAATTACATCAGTTGTTACCAGTAATTTATTTTGGATCTGTTCCATTTTGGATCAGCGCTGTAGACATTACAGAGAACGTGTACCCCACACCAACTATTGTCCAAATTTGTGGTAATTTATTGCCCATTAAACTCAATTTCCTCAATGATCCTCATGCCCTTTTGCCTTCAAACCACCCTGATTATCCAACATACCCACTATCTCCATTTCTTCCTTTATGCTGCTTTAGTCATCTTGCCTATTTATTTTCCAAAGCCCCAGAATATCCGTCATAGTCATTGTCTTCTTGCTCTCATGAGAACCTTGTCAGCGGGTCTGTGTGTGTGTGTGTGTATATATATGTAAAGGCTAATGAAGGGATGCACTCAGAGGTCTTCCAAAACACAAAAATGGTGTTTAATAAATCATCAAAAAAGTTACATAAGTTTCTGATCGATGTTTTTGCCCATTTGGGCCTTTTTAAAAGATCTCGAGGAAGACCCGAATGGGCCTAAACGTCAATCAGACACTTATGTAAATTTTTTGATGATTTATTAAACACCATTTTGTTTTTTGGAAGACCTCTGGATGCAACCATTCATTATTAGCCTTTATATATTCATCATGGGTTTTGGCACCTATTCAGTAGGCAGTATTCATTTATATTTTTCATACAGGGTGAGTGCCAAGTGATTTGGGATTTATATAGAAGTATACACGTTTTATATTTTATTTCCGTCATTCATCGGTCAGAATTTTTTAACACACAGTGTCTAAAGATTAAGATTCTGCTTCAAAAGATCCGTGATTTGCAGTGAAATACAGCACAAGCTCAGTCATCTGTGTAAATTGCCTTTTTAGTCCCAATGTGCATATGGCATGACGGAGTTCTAAAGGGACACAGTAAAATGCCTTGTCATGCAAACATTTGTGTGCAGTGAACAAAGATAGTGATCTATATTATGCTGGCTTAATATTAAAAGCAACTGATAGTGCGATCTAAAGCATTTTCTAGTGTTGCTGTCACTGAGATACAGAAACATACATTGCCGTGAGTATTTTGCACAGTTCATAATCTCAAAATACAATGCACACACAATCAACTGCAAGAAAAAATGTATATATCATATTAGGTCAAAGTTTTGCTCTTGTTTGACTGCATAAACACACACAAATCCTTTTTCGAATTGCGACCCTTACCTGCACAACACCCTTTGCCATTAATAGGGACAGTGACACCATACCTTGCACAAAAGGTATTGCCATACAACAGTAACGGTATTACGCGACCATAAATCCACTTAAATAAAATCTGTCTTTTATTCTTGAAAATTAATCAGAGAAGAGAGCCAGCCTGTCACTAGCAAGGCAGCAGACTGGCCCCCAGGAACATATATCTGGTGTGGAACCATTCATAAATAATTTAACACTTGAAGGTAAGGTGGCGCCAGGAAACTCTAGGCACCATAACCACTACATTGAGATGAAGTGTTTATGGTGCCCAGAGCGATCCTTTAATAATGCATTTGTTACTAAGTCTTACAGTGATTTTGTGAAAAACATACAAGCTGCCAATTTGCTCTAGGTCACATATGCGATAGTATAAGGTTCTCTGTGAGCTATATTTAAATTATGCATGACAGCTGTATACAAACCAATGCAACCGTACAATTCCTGTGACTTCTCTATGCTAGATGTCATTCTGGTCAGTGTCACACATCCTAGAGGAGACTGCTTTTACCAAGTCACATGACATTACCTCTTTTACTGTGTTACGGCACATGGACAATACAAGGGCTATATTTAAACTTTGTCTGGGATATTCATTTCATACACGGAAAGACCGGACTGCCTATTGCTCTGTTAGAATACATTCACATCTACATAGATGCTCAGTGACATAAATATATGCCCTTTTGGAATATTTGAATTATTAAACCAAATCAGTAACCATGACCTTGCTGTGTTGTCCAGTTACCTCCAAAAAACCCTCCTATCTAAATGCAAAAAATCCTTCCTATTTAAATGCAAACTTAATAATTTCCAAAAATGTATATTTATTAGGTTTTTACCTTCTGTACAGCAAATGGCGGTATTGCTACACGTCTTCATAACAAACATATGTTAACTATAGGGGTTACCTAAACAGAATATCACAAATTCTTGGGAGCAGCAGATCCTATTCAAGTACTTCGTATGGATGGAGCTGGGAACCTCCTGTTGGACTGGAAACTGGGTTCTGACGAATTCCACTTAGCAACCATTACCTTGGAATCCTGTCCCGACATACATTGAACTATAAACACCCACATGTACTGAATGGTAGTTCCTATAAATCAAAGGCAGTGGAAATAATGTAAAAATAATGTGTTTATTTTTTTTACATTTTATTTTAGATTCCAAGTGACAAGCACATAGATTATTTTGAGGAACTATGTGTTAATTTTTACTTAATATCTGGGTACTTGATGGATATTCCCCTACTCTTATTTTCATGCATGCTTGCAACTTATCTGCTCTGTGTTGAATACGTAAAGGATACAGTCAAGTGTTCGGCATTGTTAAACATTGTGAATACAATTCATTTAGTCTTGGGCCGCCCAGGCTAAATTTGGAATCACAGCCAGAGAGATAAAACTCTCTCTCCCAAGGTCGCACTGAAATCCCATTACTCTGCTCATTTTAGAGGCTATTACCTTGTTTAGTCGTTGCCTGTAATGGGTTTAATGTGAAGCCTCCTAAGAGGTTGAATGAAGACCCTGAGAAAAATCTCACAAGGAATAACAGGCCAAGGGTAGAAGTATAGGTATTGGGGAATGTCTACAGAAAACCAAAAGATTGGTATAGGCAGTGACTGAAACAAGGTTGATTTAAACAGCCAGGATCATAGAAGGAAACAAGTAAATATACAAGTGGGTAACATTAGAGAATTACCAAATGTCCCCCCAAAATACACACAGTAATATTTGGTGTATATGAGTTAATCACAGTATCACATCTCACAAATGGTCATACAAATAAAACCTACAGCAACTGGCATAAGAATAATACCATCTAAAAATACTAATTGAAAAAAGAGGTACAAAATACATCTTTTTTGCATCGGTAGTATATTATATAAAAATAGTTGTGTGCCTGTGTCTGGGACTTTCCCTCCCCAAATCATGGATAACGGATTTTCCGGCAGTAACCAGAAACACCAAGTAATCAGTATGCACTCTCAGACAATAATAAACCATTTCAGGCAATGATCCTTAGACAGAGGGAAGTATTTATAGGGACTCCTCCAATACTATTGGACAGCATCATTACTATGCACCAATTCACATGAAGGGGTGTGACTTGAGAAGGGTAGGTGATGTGTCCTAAAGATATGACCATTAAAATGTTTATTATAAATTAACTTAGAATGACAGTGTCCTATAACTTTAAGGACACCTGTAGGCAGCGCAAGGTGGTCATGGTGATCCAGCAATCTCGCAAGATTAACTACATGTTCTGCATGTGGAGCAGCTAAAAGCTGTGCATCTTCCAATTTGGAGGTGGCCAAGCATGCAACGTTCAACATGACAG